TTCTGGATAAGAGGATTACAGCTATTAAAAGTACCGATGTGAACCTTGAAACCAGCCCTACTGGATTACTATCAGAAATCCTGCAGAAAGTCAGCCATCTGGGTTCTGATCTGCTGTAAAAAATTTAAGATTTAAGTGACCTTAATTAACCTGTCCTCTGCCCTACCCTAAGGTATATACTAGTTATTACAAGGGACTTGAGGAAGCTTCTCTGGATTACTGAACTTTTTTCCATCTAATGAGATAGTCTAGCAGTTTTTCCCTAGTCTGGCATGTATGGTTCAGTAGAAGTATTTCATAGTGATAGTGACCACTTGATGCAGAGTCTGGGTTTCTCTATAATAAATCCCTTTGCCAAATGCAAGAGTTGCAGACATGTTACTGGCAAGAGTAAAGCAAGTGGGTAAGTAAAACTATCCTGGTGTTGGGGGCATTTTCTTATAGGATTTCAGTCTTGATGAACATGCTGGCTTCTAGGAGGGCCACACACAGTGACAGCCCCTGCTGGCCACTGTGGGCAGTAATGTTGAGATTATTTGAGGTGGCAGGTATGATGCCTGCCTTCTGGTGTATTTGGGTGAGTAGCTGAGCCAGCAAGGGGAGTTTGGATGATTACGTGAAAAATAAGAGATTCTTGGTTAAGCTGAAGACTTCATTTGGGAACCAAAAACAAGTAATCTCTTGGACCTTGAGTCACATATTTTCCTTGAAAAGTACAGATTGTCCCACATAATTTTGTTGGGGGTTGTATTACTGAGAGGTGGAGTAAGATGAATATGAGGTTTTATTTAATGGCTCACTGTACTGGAACTCTGAAGACCTACAGCAGATTTAAATTCCAGCTGTTATAACTTTTTAAGATTCTGAAATTACAAAAATGCACATGAATCAAGTTTTAATATACTATATGATGGGTGGCTGAGGCAGTCCACTCTACCATTTCTTTCTTTGGATTCTCAGGCATGGTCTGGCAGTGCAAGAACTCTGTAACATTAACAAATTCAATAAAAAGTAAATAATATGAAAAAAAGGATAAATTCCAAATGGATAAAAACTGTAAAAGTAAAAACTAAAACCACTAAAATAGTATTGCAAGCTGGGTGTGGTGGTGCGAGTCTGAGGCCAGTATGGGCTACATGAGTTCAAGGCCAGCCTGAACTACATAGCAAGACCCTGTCTCAAAATATAAAACAAAACATTATATTATAAAGATATGACACATCATAAGCATCTTAGGAACATAAATGCAAGACATCCATGAATCTCACCCAAGGCCTTCAAAAAATATCCTCCAATGGACTGGGGATACAGCTCATTACTAGAGCTTGCCTAGCAAGTGTGAGGCCCTAGGTTCAGTAGGCAGCACACCCCAAGAAACCCCCCGAAACCTAACAGCATTAAAAGGAGTGATAAATTTGACTAATAAACTTTCAGATCTGAGGGTATACCCTCAGTGGTACAGGGCTCATCCCCAGCACCAAAAAATAAAAATATATCATAAAGATTTTCAGCATGGTAAATGCAAGCAGTCAAAAGACAAAAACAAACTGGAAAAAAAAACTTATTATAAACAAAGGGCTAATTTTCCTAATCTATAAAGAGTCATGAAGGAAGTGAAGAAAAAAAATAACCTCAGGAATTTATCAACTATAGACATTTCAAAGGAAAGGATTCCCAGCACTGGGCAGAGAAAAAAAGTAAATTCAGAAAAAAAGGTTTGCTGGATGTAGTGGGAAGCTGAGGCAGAAGAATCACTACAAGTTAGAGATCAGTCTGGGCTACACAGTAAGTTCAAGGCCAGCCTGAACTGCATAGCAAGTCGGTCTCAAAAAAAAAAAAAGGTTCAGAAACAACACTAATTTGCCATTTGGCATACTGTCATGAATCACATAATTTAACACCTTAGCAAAGATTTGGGAAACATTACTGGTGGGAGCAAACTGACAAGACACTTAAAGGATTTGGCAACTCTGCTTCTAGGAATTTATTTAGGTGGAAAATGAGATGTGCACGTGTGTATACATGTAATTGTGTTTAGTGGCAGCAAAAGATAATCAACCTAATTATCCGTGGACCAAGGACTGAATTTTTAAATTAAGGTACAATTATAAATAGTTGTGTTAAGGGAATGAAGCAGCTCTGTATGAACTGAAATGAAATTCAGAAATTTCAAATTTCTGTCAATTCCATCTTAAAAAGTTTTATCCAGAGTTCATTTTGCTACCACTTTAATCAAGGGCATCACCTCTTCTTGCTGAAATCTGACTTCTCTGATATCACCCTTACTCCCCTGTCTACTCCCCAGGAGTGTCAAATGGATCCTATTAGAACACAAACCACATTATGTCAGTTCTCTAAAAACACTCCAGCACCTTCCCTTCTCTCCCAGAATAGAAGCCATTGGCCCCTCCACTCCCACTTCCACCATGTTCCCTTTAAGGGACTTCTCTACCTCTTTTCAACCTCACTGGCCTCCCTGCTTCCCTAACATCAAGAATACTCCTGCTTGAGGATACCTGTTTTTCCTGTACCTTCTGACTTGTTTTGTTTTGCTTTGAAACAGGGTCTCATTATGTAGTTCAGGCTGGCCTTTAACTAAATAATCCAGGCTGGCCTCAAACTCTTGGCAATCTTCCTGCCTCTGCCTCCCAAGTGCTGGGATTACAGACATGTACCACCTTGCTCAGCACTTACTATACCTTCTGCCTGGAACACTATTCCACCAGAACTTTCCATGGCTCTCAACTCCTGTCTTTATTCAATCTCACCTTCTCAATACTTTCCTGACCACTGTACTAGAAATGTCATAAATATACACACATGGTAACATGGTGGACATATGAATAACCTCTGAACAATTCTTTCAACTTCTCTTAACATTTGAAAATTTTCATCAATGTTGAAAAAGCACACCCACACAAACTTACTTCCCCTTTCCCTGTTTTATTTTTCCATGGCACACATCATCATCTAACAGGTATTTTACTTGTCTCTCCCCACCCTCCAAACATCTATGCTATAAATCCCAATAGAGGTAGGCAAGGATTTTTGTCCATTCTGTTCTTGCTTGATCCTCAGCTTGGAAAACAGTGTCTATTACTGCAAAACAATCACTGTCTGGTTTTGCCATTACACTATAATCATGTAAGAGTCCCACTGGGGGAAACCAGGTAGTGGGCACCTTGCTGCCCCTCCCCTCTGTACCACCTTTGCAATCTCTTGTGCAACAGTGAAAGTGATTTCTACTCAATTAAGTGATAATACACTAACTCTGTGTAAAAAGTAAAAGAAAGGATTTTATACATATTTGCTTGTAAATGCACAGTATCTCTGGGAGAATATGTAACCACTACTTATAGTGGCTGCTCCACGAAGACATTTGGGTGGCTGGAGAAAAGAAGGAAGCAGACTTCTCAACAAACTTTTTATATCTCTTGACTTTTGGGCCATGTGAATATATTACCTATTCAGAACACAATTTAAATTGGAAACATTTGTTATATCCCCTTCCCAGGGTCTATGTCAACTTTATCCATCTATAGTTTCCAGAAATCAGGTTCTTTCCCTTTCTGAAAAATCACTATCGCAGGACTTTTAACACTTGTGCACCTGTTCTTGCAGTGATCCTAAAGCTTTAAACTAAAATTAAGTGGTCTTCTCCATTTAGTAAAAACTCCTCTTGAACTTAACTTAGGAAGGCAGAGAAGCATAAGACAGTTTAGAAATAAATAGGAAAATGTGATTATTACAATATATACAATACAGATACTCCCTATTTTATGATGGGGTTACATACCAATAAAATCATCATAAGTTTGAAAATAATGTTTTGAAAATCCATGTAATATACCTAACACACCAATCATAGCTTACCCAGAGCTACCTTAAATGTGCTCAAAACACTTACATTAGCCCACAATTGGGTGAAATCATCTACAATGCCTATTTTACAGTAAGTGTTAAATACCTCATGTAATATACTGAACACCGTACTAAAAGCAGAAACCAGAATGCAATTCTTACTGTCTGAAGCCACTTAGTTTAAAAATAAATGGTACCCTACACCATCATAAAGTCAAAAAATCTAAAGTCAAACTGTCATCATAAGTGAGAGACTATCTGTACTAATGAATTACTGTTACTTTTCTTAGATTTGATAACGGTATTGATTGTGTTTTTAATCTATCAGAAAATGTTGAAGAATTCAGGCGGAGAAAGGCCATGTCTACAACTTACTTTCACATGGTCCCACAAAAAGAGAAATGGATACAAATATAGTAATTTATGGATACCTAGAAATACAAGTCTATATACAGATGCACAGCTATACAGAAATAAAAGCTACCATGCCTAATATTACTATTAATTTAGGCAAACATTACCCATTATACACTCTCACAACTTTTTTTTGGTACCAGGGATTGAACTCAGAACCTTCACTTGTGAGGCAGGCACAGTGCCACTGAGCTAAATCCCTGGCCCTCTCACAACTTTTTGAGGGGTTGAAATTTCACAATATAACAAGTTTAGGTAATACTTTTTAAAATCTTACTAAAGTTTCCAAAAATTAGCTCAAATGCCACCTCCTACAAGAAGCCCTTCAAGATGCACGCAGCTGGGAGAAATGACTCCCTTTCCCACATTTCCAAAGCACTTCACTTATGTTCATACATCAAAAGCCTGAGTAAAAACATCATTGGGCCCCTACCTCAAGCCCATAAACCTTGGTACCCTCACAGACACAGCTCTAGACTCGGGCCTCCCAGCAAGACCTAAGGTAAGTGTAAGTGCTTAAGTGGACCGCACTGACTGGAAATATCCAGACCTCAAGAATGAGTAGGAAGGCCTGGGACAGTGGCTCCTCCTCTGGACAATGGAGACAGCAGGCCAGATATAAAGACATTTGCAGACACCTGGAGACTACAGATAGCTTGAAAACCTCAACCGACACCCAGGCTCCTGGCTGGGGACACTGTGGCAAGAGCTGGAAGCAGCATCAATACCTTAGAACATAACTTTATTGGAGACAAGGTGGTGGGTGCAAAGGAGAGCTAGGAGTCAGGCTCCATGGTAGGCGGCGGCTTCTCATCATCAGGCGGACAATCGATGAAATCAGCCAGCATGGCAGCTGTGTCATCCTCCTCCTTTTAAGGATAAAGACATAGGATTCAAAACAGTCTCCCTCTCTCACACACACACACAAACACACACATACACATGTGTATGTCAAACTGGGGTGAACCTCTTCCTAATACAGCCATATGCCCTCCTGCCAGCCTCACCTTCTCACTCCAAATATACCTGCCCTGCCTTCTTACCTTTTCCTGCACAGCTGTGGCCTCTGCCTCTGTCTCCATCTCTTCTGCAGGTGTCTCCAGTAGAGGTGGCACCTTGTCACCTCCACCCTCTGTCTCCTCTTCCAGCAGAGTTGGGGGGTCAGAGGGCTCTTCTTCAACTGGCTCCTGAGGAGGTGGCCCTCCTGTGGGGCTTTCCCCTTCCCTTTCCACCTCACCCTGGGAGGGGAGCACCTCAGGAGCCAGGGTAGGGGCTGTCTCAGCCCCAGGCTCCTCTTCAGCTCCAGGCTCTTCCACTTCTAACAGCAGCCCAGGTTCAGGTTCTGGCACAGGCGGTACTTTGGGAGACTGTGGAGGGGGCAGAGCTGGAGGCAGGGTAGGGGGTGGTGGTCCACTTTCTTCTACCTCGCCCTCTGCTGAACCAAACTCCAAGTCTTCTACCTCTTCCAACTCTTCTTCCTCCTCCTCTTCTTCCTCCTCCTCTTCTTCCTCTAGCTCACCTTCTTCCTCCTCAAACTCTTCCTCAAACTCTTCTTCCTCTTCTTCCTCTTCAAAATACTCTTCTTCCTCCTCTTCCTCTTCCTCAAAATCTTCCTCTTCCTCCTCTTCCTCCTCCTCTTCTTCCTCTTCATCCTCTTCCTCTTCTTCCTCATCACTGCTGTTGATATTAATAACTGTCAAATCTTCTTCCAAGGCCGGGGGTCCTGCCCCGCCAGGTGTCCCTTCAGGAACCAACTGGGGTGGTGGAAGTGTCACAGGACCAGGGATAGGTGGAGGCGGGGGTGGAGGGAGAGGCCCTGGGGCTGCAGGAAGTTCTTCAGGTTCTTCCTTGGCTGGCATAGGAGGGGAGGCTGTTGGTGGCCCAGTGGGGGCTACAGGGGGAGGACTAGTGCCAGAGGGTGGTGGTGGGGGTAGGGGTGGTAGTCCCTCAGGCACAATCACCACGCTGTCGTCAGAGTCACTTTCCAAGGAGATCTCCACATCGGATGCCTCTTCTTTGTCGTAGTGGACAAAGGCTGGTCTGGGCACTCTCCCCCCAAAAGTTTCATCTGGGGGTATGGTAGGTGGAGGAGTCCCACTAGGGGCAAGGACAGGGTCCTCACTGGAGCCTGCTCGGTGGTTCTCGGGGCCAGGAAGAAGCCGAGGAGGAACAGACACCAGGCCTGGGACAGACAAGCCAAGGTGATTGGATGTGGCTGGAGGCCCTGGGCGTGCTGGGGGCACAGGGCCTGTAGAAGGCATAGGACCTGATGAGGGTATGGGGCCTACAGAGGACATTGGGGCTACTGAAGACATGGGTCCTGCAGAAGGTAACGGCCCTGCAGAGGGCATGGGGCCTACAGCAGGCATGGGGCCCACAGAGGGCATGGGGCCCACGGAGGGCATAGGGCCCGGGGGATGGAAGGGTGGGGCTCTGAACAGAGATGGAGCCTCAGGAGGGGGAACTGAGGCAGGTGTGGGGCAGGTGGGGCCCATGGTCTGGAGGGGAGGAACTCGGGGGTGAGTCAGAGCAGCACAGGTCACCAGCGCTTCTGAGCAGAAAGAGGAGACCTGAAGAAAGAAAGGACAAGTGTGAGCATCAGGGCCACAGGGACTCATGGGGCCTGAATCTAAGAACCAAAGGGGAACCTGGGCAGTCAGCAGTTACCTCAAGGCTGTCTTCTCTCTGGCCAAGGGAAAAAGCCTGAAGAGCACAGGAGAGAGGAGGTGGGCAGCGAGGAGAAGGGGCCAGGAGTAGGGCCAGCAGCAGGCGATAGAGCTCACGGCGGCAACAGGAGCTAGTGTATGGGGAGCTGCCCAGGACCTCGCCCTGCTGAACACCCATAGCCAGGGGCAGGACCAGATCATGCAGTCTCTGAAAAGGACACAGAGTACACTAAAACTTTACCAAGACCACCCAACCTTTCTCCAGAGCCTCCTCCCAGGTTTCAGTGGACCCACCTCTGGAGTATACACCCCCCTGTGCACACAGCAGCAGCCCCCTCCCCAGGCTCCAGGGAGACCAGGCTCCACTAACCCTGTGAGTCTCCTCCTTGATGAGTGGCCCACACATGAGTATGGTCCGGCTGAGGCCTGGGAAAGAGAATGGTATGTAAGAGGCAGAGTATGATGGTGCACGCTGTAATTCCAGCTACTTAGGAGGGTGAGGCAGAAACATCTCAAGTTTGAGGCTAGCCTGGGCAACTCAGCAAGACCCTGTCTTAAACAAGTGCTGGGGATGTAGCTCACTAGTGAACTGCTTGCCTAAAATGCAAAAGGTCTTGGTCCAATCCCCTTTCCCTACCAAGAGGTGAGGGAAAGAAGAGGGAAGTTTACTGTCAGGATGAGGAGCATACATCCCAAAGGAGTGTCCAGCTCTGCCACTGCCTACCCTGAGCAAGGCATTTACCTTTTTAGTCTACTTTCTCAAGTATTGCGTGAGGGTCATAAAAGTACCTCTACTATATAGGGATACTGACAATACTTAAGTGGTATAATGTAGATAAAACATAAATGTGCATTTACGTTCTTGGTGAGAGCTGGCTCTCCCCTTCAGATGAGGTAGGGTGGTGTTTAGTAAGACACATGAAAGAGACCCAAAAGAAAGTCACCCACTAAGTGCACAGCATCTGACTATTAACTTGTTGACAGATTAACAGTTCCACTGGAAACAAGAAGCTCCACTGAGCAGCCTGCCCTGCAAGGAATTCGAGCCTCAGAGGCAGGGACCTTCCTCCAGGTGCTAGAACTGTACCTGGTAGAGAGAATGCACACACAAAGTGTCTGACCCAAGTTTCCACCTGCAGACCCCATAGCTGCACGGCTGTTTATGCACCTTCTCCTAGCCTCTCTGTTTTTTTGTATACACCCTCTTATTTCACCAACTGGTTTTGAGCTGTAACTCCAGGGCACCCTAGACCTACAAGAGTACAGGGCCTCAGGCCAGGCATTTAGCTCAGTGGTTCTGCCGCCTGCCTCACAACCGCAAGGTCCCAAGTTCAATGCCCAGTACCAAAAAGAAGAGCACAGGGCCTCACGCACCTCTCAATGCAGCTACACACACATCACTGTTGGCATTGCTATCTCCTTTCCGCTGGCTTGGTGGTGCCACAGCTTCCCCCATATCCAGCTTTAGTTTCTTGGGTGCACTGGGCTTCCCAGTTTGTAAACCCCCATCAGGGGTCCCTCGGGGACTTCGTAGCTGGTAAAGGGAAACAAAAATCACACACACAGAGGCACACAGGAAAGCAGGACAGTCAGGAAACAGTTTGGTAAGGTGGCATATTTAGACAAGAGGCCACAGGAGCCAAGGACAGGAGCTGAGGTGGGACTCACCTTAAGGGCATCAGCTGGTGGGGAGATATCACTGAGCAGGTGCGTGAGTAGGGCTTCTCCAGAGGCTCCTCCCTGAAGCACCCCTGCCGAGGCCCCACAAACCTGTACCCACAGCTCTAACACAGCATATACCTTAGTCCGAATGGTGCTGTGGGGTGAACAAAGGGCAAGTTATGGGGTGTTTTTTTTTGGTACCGGGGATCGAACTCGGGTCCTTGTGCTTGCGTGACAGGTGGCAGAACCACTGAGCTAAATCCCCAGCAAGAGCAAGTTATGAATGGAGAGTCCATGTGCTGAAGCCCCTGGCCCTCCTGCATGCCCTCTCATCCTTTCTTCTTTATTCCCTTCCCAGTCACCTGTAAGGCCGCTCCTGGCCTGAAGAGAGGGTGTCCCTGCCAATGCTCCAGGCATTGAGGACCTGGGGGAGCAGGCGGCTGATCAGGGACCCAAAGCGTAAGAGCCGGCCTCCACACCTGGGGGCAGAGATGGAATGGTGACCCTCACATCCAGCATGCCCAGACCCTTCTTCAGACTCAGCCCAATTCCACTCACGCAAGGATGAGAGCAGAGAGCAGGTCCAAGGCTTCAAGGTGGATAGAGGGCAACAGCAGCAGCCGCAGAGGACCATCTCCAAGCAAGCTCTGGAGGAAAAAATCAGTAAAGGGTAAGGGAAGAATGTGAAAGCCAGGGCAAGACAGAAATACAGGCAGAGTAGTCATGTATGGCTATATACTCACTAGGCCCAGCTCTCTCAGTAAACAAAATCCCACCTTCTACACAGATCCTGGTTGGGATCTGTGTAAGGGGAGGTGGCTGAGTCTCTCAACAATGACTCACCTGATCCCCACTCGCTCTCTCCTAAGGAAGCAACAGCCACAGTGGCACTGCTCTATGTGAGCAAATCCACTGACAGCAGCACATGTATTCAGGAAGCAGGGAATAATGATATTTGGAAAGAAGCAGGAGCTTTTTTTGTTTTGGTTTTTGTTTTGGTTTGGTTTGGTTTGGTTTTTTGAGATAGTTTCTCACTATGTAGCTCAGGCTGGCCTTGAACTCATGGGGATCCTCCAGCCTCAGCCTTTCAAGTATTGGGATTATAGGTGTGCTATCTTATCTGAAACAATTTTAGGGATAACACTGGGATATTTAGGTCACAAAGTGCTTTCCTGGTTGTCCAGGGTCCTGACCAAAAGCTGCATACAAAAAGACAAAGCCCACTCACAATATTCTTGCCGCTGACACTGAGGATCCGGCAGATGAGATCTAAGACTTCCTGCACAGGCACAGACACAGGAGCCTCAAATTCAGAGCTGTAGGGAATCAGTACCAAGACCCTCAAAACAGGCCCCCAGGCCAGGGATTTAGCTTAGTGGCACCTTGCCTGCCTCGCAAGCACAAGGTCCTGAGTTCAATCCCCTGTGCCAAAAAAAAAAAAAAAAAGAAAAACAGGTCCCCAGCATGACTCCACACCCACCTCCACCTCCTTCCCATGATGATGATATTCCCCTCACCTCCTTCTCCTCCTCCAGGACCCTGCTCCCTCCAACACCCACACACCTGAGCATCAGCCCCAGGCAGCGAGCCAGTCCCGAAAACCTCTGCCGAAGCCGGAGGAGAACATGGGCATCGCCTTCTTCTGAATGGGAAAGCAGCGTCTCCACTCCAGGGCCTTCATTCTGCACAGGAGCTGGGCAGCAACATAACCACCTTGTACCCTCTATGTCTTTCTCCCATCCCGTCTCCATTTGTGGTAGGTGATCTGCATACGTTCTTACCATGTTGCCTAGAAACCAACTGCCCCACTCTTCTGGGCCACCGTTCTATTGCCTCCTGCAAAGCTCCTCCAGTCCAACCTACTGACTACCAACCCTGGTCCCTACCTGTTTCTGCTCCCTCATACAGGGCCCCCAGCAGGCTGTGCAGTGAGGCCAGCAGGCTGTGCAGCTCTTGCTCCCAGCTTTCTGTGTGCTTCAGGCCCTGGGAAAAGCCAGCTCCTAACGAAGGAAGCTTGGAGTAACATTCACAGGCCAGCTGCAAAAGGAAGGGCAGAAATTTGGTCAGATGGGAACTAGCCCAGCAACAGAGATAATGTTCAAGAGAGATGATGATCAAAGGGAGGCCAAGGGATTATGAGGCAGAAAGGTCCATGTTAACAGGGAAGAAATATGCTCCAGTATACCTCATATGATTATTATAAGAAACTAATGAGGGAGAAAATCTATTAAATGATTATAAAAACTCTCCACTGAACAACTTGAGTATATTCTAGAAACCTCTGGATTTGGACTCAGCATCACTTTTGTTTGTGACACTTATTTTACCATAAAATACATTTTCTGTTACATTGTGATGTTACTTCCATAACAAATTATCATGCGCTGAGCACTTCATTTGACTGTATTTTACCTTCACCTTTTCCCATTCATCCGCTGGTATTATCCTCATTTTTCATAAAAGAAAAATGAATCCCAGTGGGACTCAGAAAATTGTTTAAGGCTGCAAGCTGACCAAAAATGTAAAATAAAAACCTTTATTTACTTATGAACTTAAAAAAATAAAACAAAACAAAACAGGGAAGGAGTAGTAACAGAGAAAAGCTAAGAATGAACCATAACAGATATAACAGATGCTCCTAGCTCAGATCCCCAGGCTCTATACCTCTGCCTTCCCCTTACCTGTTGGAGTTGAGGGCTCAAGGAATGCACCCGAGACAGGAAAAATGAGGCCAGCTTGCCCTAAAGGTAGGGGGAATAAAAGTAAGAGTCTATGAGCCAGTTCCAAGAGCCAAAGATGCACGTCCCATCCATTCCCAGCAGAAGACTCTATGCCTAAATGTTTCTTTCCTATAGACACAGGAAGCATGATGCATCCACTAGGCAGCCAGGAGTAACCTAGTACCAGACATGTTTTTGTGGAATAAAGACATCCTGCATGTCAGCTCTGTGCCTTAGCTTCCTGTCTAAGGACAAAGGGCCTGGCCCCAACCCACAGACAACTGGGCTCCCTCGTGCCAGTTTTTCCAAAATGACAGTCACCTATCTCCCTCAAGCCAAAAGGATAGAGTCCTGAAAAACAATAATCCCCATACTCCAGCTCTCTATCAGCTTAGACATTGAAAGGAGAGTCTACACTGGGAGTTGAGGAACTACCCAGAGGCATGAGGGCAGGACAAGTCAGGAGGCAAGAGTAGTCTGGTAGAACAGAAGGAAGTCTGCAAATCTCAGAGCAGCAACCTTTCTGTCAGCAAACCTCTTCTCTTCCTGCTATTAGAAGGTCCTGGAGTGAAACTGTTTATAACCTAACGGCCACAATTTATCTGGAGGTAGAATCAATGGGGTCTATGAATATGGATGGAGAAAAAAATTACATCATCATTTTCACTAACCTATAAATGAAATGTAGTGAGTACAAATAGCTACGGTATCAGTAATAGCTGTTATTATCATGAACAGAACTCACTTATTTTCATTTCACATTATGGTTGTAACATTATCTTGAAATATCATCCACATATATCACTAATATGAAAGTACAGAGCCAGACATGGTGTTACACACACTTAGGAGACTGAGGCAGTTAGGGTCACTGTGAATTCAAGGCCATCCTGGGCTACATAGTGAGTCTGAGGCCAGTCTGAAGTATATAGCAAAACCCTGTCTCAAAAAACAAAAAAGCAAGCAAGCAAGCAAGCAAGGAAGGAAGGAAGGAAGGAAAGAGAGGGAAGGGGATGAGAAAAAAAGAAAAAGAAAGAGAGAGAGAGAAAGTAATAGAGAAAGAAAGAGAGTTAGTTGTAACAGCTGCCTCGAGTTTGTGGGTTACAGTCTAGGCCTTGGCATCAGATAGATATAGGTTCCAATCCCTACTGATCTTAAGAAAGGTACTTAATTCCAATTTCTTCATCAGTGAGGATTAAGTGCTCTGAGGTATCATCACTATGACTGTTGAGATAGGTGTGTAAAAATCTCAGGAATGACCAGCCATGCTGGGGCAGACCTGTAATGCTAGCACTCTGGGAGGCTAAGACAGAAGGTTCATAAGTTCAACTCCAGCCTGGGCAAGATAGCAACTTAATGAGACTGTCTCAAAATTAAAAATGGGGCCAGGGATTTAGCTTAGAGGCTCTGCCGTCTGCCTCACAAGCACAGGTCCCAAGTTGGATCCCTGGTACCAAAAAAAATAATAATTAAAAATGAACAAAACGGGGGCCGGGGATTTAGCTCAGTGGTTCTGCCACCTGGCTAGTAAGTGCAAGGTCCCGAGTTTGATCCCAGGTACCAAAAAAAAAAAGAACAAAAGGGGCTGAGGATGTAGCTCAGTGTGAAGGCCCTGAGTCCAACCTAAAGTAAGAGCTATAAAGGCTTATGTTGTAGGGAGAGGCATTTCCATAAATACTTACTTTAAGAGAACCACAAGCCCGAGGAAAATAGGTCATACAAGATTTCATTCCCTCCAATGCTGACTGTTCACACTGTGGGAAAACAGAAAGTTAAAAAGAAAGAAGAGGCCCACTGACCCTACATATGTCTATCTCATCCCACTATCCCAGAAAGTTTCTTCTCTACAGTGTCACATGGAGTCGGGGTGGGGCTTCCTCTTCCTACTTCCTCAATCCTATTCCTCAATCACTTCCCGTTACATTATTTAGCCCAAACAGTATAAAGGAGGAGTCATCAGGTAAAGGACCAGGAAAGGGTCTCACCTCTGGTCTGAGGCCCAGCAGTGAAGTAAGAAGACCAGGGAGGTGGTTGACAGAGATGTCCCGGGAGAGTGTAGGAAGCTGGGCTGCATATCGGAGCAGGTCTTTCAGGACAGCCACAGCCAACTCCATAGTGGGTGGTGGATCCTGGGACTAAGCAACAACACCCATGCTGCCAACCTCACCTTCACTGTCACTGACAGGAGGAGGGACTGGAGGTATAACAACATGAGGCTTTTGAGAAACACCATGGTTAAGGTCAATATTACCATTAAATCCACTATCTCTACAGAAAAAGCAAGAGAAAATATGTTCCAAAAGGAATGTTATTTGTCTACAGAAAGGAGAGCTGGTTAGTATTTAAGGTATCTGGGGTCCCAGGAATTTCGGAAAAAGCTAACAAGCCCACACTTCAAAGATCAGGCTAATTGTCCCTGGAGTGACCTCCAGGTGAGAGGCAGGACACCGCCATCTTGGCCCTGTCCTTGGGGCAGACAGGGACACGGGACCCTGGTGTGGTGAGGGCCCAGCTGCTACCTGTCTGGCCGTGGAGGGATGCAGCCAGGACTCTCCAACAGTGTTTTCAATGGAGTCAAAATCCACATGGTTTGTATATTTTTTCCTTTAATCTTCGGCATTTTTTGAAATTCCAACAATATATTTCACAGAACTAGAGAAAACAATCTAAAAATTCATTTGGAACCAGAAGAGACCTAGAATAGCAAAAGCAATTCTAGACAACAGAGACATGGCAGGGGGTATCACAATCCCCAACCT